CAGGCAGAGCGTGTCTCCTGTTCCTGTTCCCCCCTCTGGTCATGGACCCCATCTATCCCATCACCCAAGCCAGAAACTACTGGCACCCTGATGCCTCTCCTGCCCACCCCCCCTGCCCACCTCACAGTTAAATCGCTCTGCGAGGCCCCCAGGCTACTGCGCACACACTCCCCAGCTTCGTCCAGACCGTGGGGACTCCAGCCAGTGCCCTCTCTGACCCAACTAGCAGCTCTGCTAAACCAGCGGCTCCTCCAGGTTCTCTCACCAAACCCAGCTCCTCAGCCTTGGCCCCTTCGCATCCACCCACCCCACTTTCTGCAGAATATTCAGTGTGGAGGCTTGGGGTCAAGGCCTGGCTCTGCCCCCAGTGGCTGTGTGAACTCAAGCAAATGCAGCCTCCCAGGGATTCCCTCCTCTCTAAACGGGGACTGTGCAGACCAGGTTGCTCCCGGGGCTGAGGGAAATGCTGTGTACCAAGCCCTCGGCCCGGAAACACTGCCGTGATCTCGAAGCCCTCCTCCTCCTCCTCCTCCTTCTCGCCTGCGCGGCGCTGCTCCTGTGCCAGCGCCCTGTTCACGGAGCACAGGGGCGCGTGCAGGAACCGGTGTGGGGACCTGCCACAGGGCCGCAGAGGGGCACTTCCCAGCCTGTGCTGGCAGAGGAGCCAGAGTCTGATCCTGCCCAGGAGAGAGAGTGCTCCCACCAAGCACAGCGGCCAGCAAGCCCGAGAAGGGCACCGCTCACATGCCCCCCCGCCCCCCTCCCCGGCTGATGGCCACGAGGCAGGGCTGTGAAGGGCTCCTCCCACACTTCCCATCGTGGACTCAGAGACGATGCTTTGCGGAGGGCACCCAGGGAAGCAGGAGACACGTGCTGGGGGAGAGGGCCGGCACGGCCATGGTGGGTGGGCCCTGCGGTCTTGCCTCTGAAGATCATAGAGGAGCTCGTGTGTCCTTAGGGGGGGGGGGGCACCCACAGAGCAAAGAACCACAGGCCAGCAGCCAGGGAGACTGTGACCGAGGGCAGTGGAGACCACTGAGCAGTAATGCACTTGAGATGCTAAGGAAAAAGGAAAGACAGCAGACTCAGGGGGAAGGAAGGGGGGCAGCGTCCACCCGAGGGCCAGCCCTGTGTCTGCGGGGCCATCAGGGCCAGAGGCTGCTGTAAGATAGCAGCAGGGAGAAGGAGAGAGTCCGTTGCAGAAGCCGGCGGCTGGGGGACAGGAAGGAAAGGATTATGGTTCAAAGGAAGTGACATAATGACGGAGCAGCAAGCTGTGCTATGACGTGCACACCGTGAGCTTTGCGGGGCAGGAAGCAGGTGCTGAGAAGGAGGAACACCGGGAAGAGAGAATGACCAAGAAGCCTGCGGCGTGAAGAATGCCCTGCACGATGGAAAGGCTTGGGGATAAGGAAGGTGAGGACATGGTCAGCTGCTTAAGGATGGAAGAGTTAGGCAAACACCGCCCTGGGTTATTTGCCTCCTACACAACCAAGGCATTCTCCCAGGTCAGCGGGAGCTGGCTCAGGCCCCAGGATCCTTCGTTGGGTAGCCCAGCGGCCTGCTGCTTTATTACCTTTCTGTTGTCTCAGAAGATCATGCTATGTCTGGTGTGGCTCTTAAAAATGTGCTTGGCTTTCTTCTTAAAAATAAAACCCCAACCGAGGGATGAAAGAAAGAGCCTGGAGCTGGTCCAGAGGAGCCTGCGCTCAGGTGGGAGGGAGAGGCCGCGGAGATGCCTGAGCAGGGGAGGGGGCCGGGCAGGGGCCGGGCAGGGGCCCGGCAGGCGGCTCTGACATAAGCACCAAATGAACAGGATTACCCAAGAGATGTCTTTCGATGCCCAAACCCAGCCAGGATCTGTGATTTGGGAGGCACAGAGGAGCGGTCCGGACGCCAGGGGGAAGAGGTGTGGAAGGATACAGCAAGACGCACGCAGCTACTTTTAGCTGGTAGCACGAGGCTGCTATTAAAAGTCTGCTCGGCAATTTAAAGCAGCACATGGTCACAGCTTCCTCATGTGCTAGGAGGCTGCTGCTGCAGCTAAGTCCTGACGCCACAGGCAGAGCAGCCGTTGGGGGTCAGCCCCCGGCTCGGGCTGGCGTCCCACGCGAGGCTGTAGGTCGGCCCCACGTGGCTCACACTGACAAGAACAGAATGCACATGGTGCACCGTGGTCCCCGTGACCTCCCGCTCCCGGGCGGGAGGCACAAGAGGCACCATGGGTCTGGCTCACGGGGTGGAACATGCCGGGCGCCACCGCCGCAGACCTCGGAGGCCAGCTTGTTTGGTCTAAGAGAGCAGGCCTTGAAGTAAAGGCCATCGCATTTGATCACAGCCAAGGGCCCGGGCGGCGCTGCTGACACCGCGGCCTGTGATTGGAGTCAAGGTCTGGCGCTGTCGGAGCAGCCTGAGAGCTGCTGGTGCCCAGGGCCCTCGCCTCGCCTCACTGTGGCCCCTCCTGCCCACACGGCATGGACGAGAGCGTGCAAGGCTCTGGGGAAGGGCTTCGGCTCCTTTTTACTCTCCAGGTCTTTTCTCAGTAAACAGAACTCAGTGTGGGAAGAGCAGTCCTATAAGTTACAATACAAATTGATTAATGCCCTAAAAATGCGGCTGAAACCGCCGGCCCTTACAAACAGTGGGGCTTATGTTGTCTGCTCCGCTCTCTGCAGGCGCATTTCCCTGAAGAGTTTGTGCATTGTTCGCCCTCTGCCTTGGCACTCGCACAGGATCCCAGGCCTGTAATAATGCCCATCGTTAAACGCAACAACCGCGCTTGGACCTCAGTCAAGGGAGTGACTCAGGCAGGCGCTGCTCGCAGGGCAGCACGCTCAGAGGCTGCCTCCACCGCGGCCTCAGCTTCCTCGGTGGAGTGGACGCCCTGCGGCCACTAGGTGGAGGTGATGTTTACAGCAAGGGCAGTGGGGCCTCGTGCCATCAGGACTTGGCACGAGCCAGCCTTCTGTGCCCATAAGTACCAGTGGGGGGGGGCTATGCTGGAGGAAGCCCCAGGGGTGGTCGGAACGGAGTCTGTCCTCACTTTCCCTGAGGAGACGGAGGGGAGGGGAGGAGCCCTGGCAGACCCTCGCCTGCCCCTCGGTCCTGGTTTCCTTTAGCCCCTCCTGGGCCGAGCGTTTCTGGGAATCGGGAGCCTGCACAGTTCGCACCCCACCACCAGCCCCACCACCAGCTTCACCACCAGCTTCACCACCAGCCCCACCGCCAGCCCCAC